TAAGCGATATCTTTTGAAATGGTAGCAGAAATGGATCATGGCTAAATGAGGTTCTCTGGCCCAATGGATGCCCTTCTGCTGATTGATGCGTTAACCGGAGTGGACAGCAGTGAATGTGGGCACCATTGTGCTGTATTTCTCTGTATGGGTGAGATAATGCACCCTCCCCATCTCTCTTCCTGGCTCTCCTCCTCCTGTCTTGTTGTGCTGTTTGTTTCCTCCTCCACCTCTCATGTTCTCCGTTTCAGCTCGTCTGCCAGTCTGCCTTTCTGTCTCTTGCTACTCTCCTTCCAGAAAGAGGACACTGTAATTATCACAGTAGGATAGAAAGCAGACCTAGTGTTTTGCTGCATAGAAGGATTTGGCGGTACGGCCTCTTAAGACAAATGAAATAAAAATAACTCAATTTGTGTTAGGAACTTCAATTTTGTAAAAGCATCAGGGCATACACCACACATGACAAGACAAACAAGGAGTTGGCAACGAAGAAGTGCAGCGTAAAACAAGGGCTTGACTAAAGCTTCACAATTCTTTCTTGGGTTGTGTATGATTCTGTGTCAGGTCATGGTGTTTATGCGTCAATCACATTTGACTTTCAACTCGTTCAGATCGAATGTGTATGTGAATCTCATCCCTTTTCCATCAATGCGATTTCAGGTTCGGTTCAGAGTTTGTGACCAATTGCAAACAAGTTTTCTGTTCTTCCACTGTAGAGGAATGCGTTCACGAACACTAGTTCGACTTGAGGCTGCAGCAAAGCAGCAACAGTTTGCGGCAACTGTAGACATTTGTGGCAGAATCAGTAGTGCCAAAATCACAATGTAGCAAGAAAGCGATTAAACACGATATATATAACCGCAATAATCACCACGCTTTCGTGTGGTATATTATTTATTATTCACCAAACAGTTGCGACATTGAGATATATATTATGTGTGATTATGTTTTCAATTAAACACGACACAAAACAAAGTATTATTTTGGTTTTATGGCTCTAAATCTTGTTATTGATTAGTCGGACTGGGTTCGGTGGCGAGGCTAACATCCATGTAATACAAGAGAAATGTTACATATTTAAATCCTTATTTATGGTGTTATGGTGCCAAACAGCCAATTAAAACTGAAGAACATATATATTTACAGTATGGGGTAATAAGCATCTGTCCAACTGTGAAACAAACCAGCCCGAACGAGGCACTAGAACCAAACTCATTTGAGTGGAAAAGGGGTTACAGTGATTTTATCTTCAGAGGACATTTCCTGTCAGTCAGCAGCATTTTCAACAAAGTCACCAGCCCCATCTGGAATCAGACATGAATATAGATATGAAGATAGATATTGTGGCAGGTGGATATTGTGCCCATTAACATTATTGGAGCTTCCCTACAGAGGTTTATTGTAATCGTGTTGTATTCACATGCTCTCTGTTAGCTGTGGGTCATTATGTTGGTGGCTAAAGAGCCGTTTTCAGCCTCCTGCTATACATTATTCTGCTGCATGTGTCAGCCCCTCACAAGGTGTATGCTGCTTCGTCAGCAGGTGAGCTGGTAGCTAAGAGAGAATAGCTGCTAACATATAGCTGTGTATTAGCAAGGTCAGAGCCAGCGGTGTGTCGGGGGTGTGGAGGCTGCCGGCTGCTGTTTGCCACACAATTCAAGGCCAATTAGCCTGCGATGAAAAGCTAATGAGAGGGTGTTTAGAGCTGACAGTAAGTAGGGCTTCTCTGTGGAGAATGATAGTGTTTTTGTGTGTCGCTTTCCCTTGTGGTGTGTGTGTGTCTGCGTGTGCAAACATTTAGCAGACACAGGCTTGTGGGGTTTCCTTGTATAGAACAACATGGCAATTATGCACTTAAGACACATTTAAATGATGTGAATTCCCAGGGATGCGACTGTCGAAAGAACATAACTTTTAGAGATACATTTAACAACACTTTAATTTGTCTGGAACCAAAAAGAGTGTCTATCATCACACCCTTGTAGTAGTATTGTATTGCTCAAACATTATTAAACCACATACAACTTTACTCCGAGTTATTATAGGCATCTTAAAGGTTCCAGTGACTCTGTATATGTCAGTTTGACTTAATTACCTCATTACACTCCACTTTTTCCCACCGTATAACATGGGGAATGTAAGAGAAATGTCAAGGACATTTCAGACAAAGACTTGGGTTTTTTATGAAATGTTATGTATTTAAAGTGTGGTATACATTTTGTGTTTGGCTTCATGTCGGTTAAAAGCTTATCATTTTTGTTTGATTATATGTATGTGTGTTGGACTGTATGTGTCCAGGAAGAATAGCCAGTGCTCATGCTAATGGAGATCCTATGATTTTGCTATTTTATGTTTGTTTCGTACAGTATCACTTCTCAGCTATATGCTATACCTTTTCTATAAATAGTTCAAAGATGAATTCAATAGTCTATCATTCATTTATTTCAAATGCGAACTAAACCCCCTCTCCAGAGCAAAGGAGCGCAACAAAATCAAGCATCAGGATTTGTAATGATGTGCAGCACAATGACAGTTTTCTATACACTCACACACATTTATAACACTATGGTGTGCTTTGAAAATGACAGGCAAACAAGAGAAAATATGATTTGGCCTAAAATATGCAATTATGCAAACAGTACTGGTGTCTACAATCCCACCAGAAATAACTCAATTAAGATTCAAAACATGTAAGTTACAAGTCACACAGACGCACACATTGGATTCAAACTGTAAAACATTTGCTGCAGAGTGTGATGTGGATAGATCCAGCTGCCCATGGCTTCTCTCTCTAGTAGATAGTCCTTGTGAACACTGTCTCTGATCTCAATTCTAGTATCTAAAGGGGAGAGCCACGTACCATGTACATGTGGTGCACGTCAACGTCACTGCACACTGCCCTACAACCAGCCCTCAGAGCAAACTGCTACATATGGGGACAGGAATAAACTCCGATGGCCACAAGTATGTGTTTGTTTGTGTTTGTATATGTGTGGTGTCAAACATAGCACAGAACACTTTTCCCAGACGCGTGTTTACGGTTCCTCCAAATTTGGAAGCCTCCCGGGTAATGTTGGATTGTATCAATTGAAAATAATAGCCGGCTAAATTCAATCTGCACAGTTGTAACAGCAGTGTTGCCGCAAGCTACTACAGTATAATGAGCATTTTCCAGACATATGCCATTTCTTCCAGCAAACACGTAATAAGAAGCACCATAAGGGAGTAGGTGGACTTTGACTTGTTGGTTTGAAGCAATCTTTAAGACTTAGCTCAAATACATTGTGGAGTACACAGTAGTCATTTGGCGGTTAAGGCTCTGATGTTAGGCCAATGGGGTTTTATGCAAACGTAACATCCACTACAAATACACATGAGACAAAGGGTGATCAAGTTTGATTTACCCACATCTGTTTATCAGGAAAACACAAAAAATGCAATGAATAAAGATATTTCTTCCTTAATATAAACCCCAATAATCTGGTAAATGTCCCAAAAAAAACATTTGTTCGAGATCTAATTAAAAACATAATGCCAGTCCCATTGCTCTAGAAATACACATTCTTTGCAGCACTTTTAAACCTTGGAGAGCATAAGATTTCTAGCAGTAGCCGTGGCTATAAAATGACTGACCCTAATGGAAATAAGAAACGGCTAGCACTCGAACAGTACCATCCTTTGCAGCATGGATATAAAGGCCAATGACCTCAATTATTTTCAATCCAAGACATATAGAGCATGTGTTATGTTTTTGATTGAATAGTGAAAAACTGAACAAAATCACAAAGTGGATTCAAAGGGTTAACGCAGTGTTTTTGCATCATTACTGTGCCTCCCCGCTGGCTCTAGATTTCCAAAGGAGAGTTGTACTAACCCAGATGACTGAAACTGCTCTCAGAGACTCCCAGCAGGAAAGTCCTCGAAACCCCCACAGTGCCAAAGCCCCACATCCACCCTCGCTGACTGAAGTTGACAATAAGATGACAGTTTAAGGTCAGACGAAAACTGAAGTGTTGTTTTTGGCATTTCACTGGTTTGGGTTCTAGCCTTTCTTCCCTGAATGACTGTTGAATTGCAGGCTCAGGCATCGGTTTGCATTGTTTCAGATACGGTGGTTTTTGGTCACACTTTCAGAGCCAAACTTTTTTTTATCTTCAGTTAGAGGTTAAGACTGGATCAGTTCCTGTTTGAAACAAAACAAGTGTGTACTCTTGCAGGAGCTGTGTGCATGTGATTGTAAAGTTGAAATGTGTAGATATCTTTCTTCACTTCAGCAGTGTGTTATTATCTGTGTACTCACACACAGTCTGCCTGTTCCCGCCCCATCCCTACGTGGTGGAAAGTGCAGAGTCATCAACATGTAGACCACTGTGGCCACAACATGGCTTTTACCGGATCAGGCTTTTCTCCCAAAGCCCAAAATGGCACATATTTGTGGCAGCTTACTTTCAGAACACATTTATTTTCTTCCTGAAAAAGAGAACACAATCTCAATACAGCAGCTACTTGAGTTCCATTTCAAAACCATAACTGGTTTGCGTCTCGAGATATTACATGGTTTTAAAACACAGGGCTGCAGTTTTCATGTATTTCAGGATACGGGTTATGATAGGGTCATGGTACGACGGCCCATCATTTTTCCCTTTGCACTTTCTTTTTAGTGTTTGTTTTGGTGATGTTACCCTGCTCTTCCTAGCCATACAATTATTTTGTTCCTTCTCAAACCACCGCTGGTTTTTCTGAAACTTGCAATTGACTGCTGACACTTATCTTAGTGTCCAGAGGCCACACAAGGATGATGTCAGCCTTCATTTTGGTTGCCTGGTAACTGTAGACCACCCCCCTCCCCCTCCCCCTCCCCTCCCTACTTCCAATCAATGTCGATAGTCCAATGGACAAGAAAAGGGTAAAATAAGTAGCCTGTTAATATGTTATGTCCTTCTCCCTGTTGCTAACCTTTTTCCCCCCTGTTTCTGTCTCCCTCAGGATGGACTGATGATGGGATGGATGTGAATATGGGCCAGAGGGCAGGCATGCGAGCCCCTCTCCTTGGCCTGGTCCTGTTGCTGCCGTTGCTGCTTTTCAAGCCACCACCCTGCTGCGGCCAGAATACCCAGGGGGGCCTTCAGGATGGACCTCACTTTGGCTTCACTCAGGCTGTCTACCACGCTATGGTTTACGAAAACTCAGCAGCACGCACCTATACCATGAGTAAAGTTAAAATGGGCATCCACCTGGCCCAGCGCTCCTGGGATGTGCGTTACAGAATCACTTCTGGTGATGACGAAGGGTTTTTCAAGGCAGAGGAGTATGTGCTGGGAGACTTCTGCTTCTTACGCATGAGGACTAAAGGTGGCAATGCAGCAATCTTGAACAGAGAGATTCAGGATAATTATGTATTGACGGTAAAGGCGTCTGTCAAGGGAGAACCCCTCCTTGAGACCTGGACTAAAGTCAGTATCCAGGTCATGGATATGAATGACTTGCGACCCCTGTTTTCACCCACCACTTACTCCGTCACTATTGCAGAAAGCACTCCTCTCAGGACTAGCATAGCACAAGTTACCGCCACAGATGCAGACATTGGCTCCAACGGGGAGTTTTACTATTTTTTCAAGGATAAAATGGAGCTGTTTGCCGTACACCCAACCAGTGGAGTGGTTTCTCTCAGTGGAACGCTCAATATTGATGAGCAGAACCGCTACGACTTAGAAATCCTAGCTGTGGACCGCGGCATGAAGCTCTATGGAAATAATGGGGTCAGCAGCACAGCCAAGCTTTTCGTCCACGTAGAGCGCGTGAATGAGCATGCCCCTGTCATGAGTGTTGTCACCCATAGCCCCTCGTGGCTTGATAAAAACCCTGTGTATGCCATGGTCACTGTTGAGGACCTAGATGAAGGTTTAAATGGGGAAGTAGACTCAGTGGTCATTGTTGGTGGAGATCCTTTAGAGCAGTTTTTCATAGAAAGGTTTGTGGAGGGTGAGTTTGCCATCAAGGCCTCTGAGTCAGTCAATTGGGAGACTTACCCTTATGGCTGTAACCTGACTTTGCAGGCTAAAGATAAAGGAGTCCCACAGAAGTTCTCTGCCGTCAAGGTTGTTCACATTATGGTCAAGAAACGGCAGACAGTGGAAGCTACTTTTGAGAAAGACTTGTACGATGTAAGCCTCAGTCAAATTTCACCACCAGGAACAACCGTAGAGGCTGTTAAAATCAAGCCAGAGCCCGATGATGCAGAATATATCCTGACACCTTCTGCAGACTCAGCCTTTTTTCAAATGAACACCCTAACAGGTGTAATCTCCACCACTCACTGGTTCACTCAGCTGACCCAGGATGCCTTTCATCTTGAGGTAATGGAGATAGATAGTGAGCTCAAAGTTAAAGTGAGGGTTAATATTGAGGATGCCAATGACAACACACCAACATTTGAGCAGTCTTCTTATGAGGTTTTGGTCAATGAAAGTGTACTAGTTGGGACCAATGTATTAACAGTCTCCGCAGTGGATGTGGATAAAGGAGAAAATGGATACATTACTTACAGCATTTCCAGCCTTCAGCCATTACCCTTCCAGATCAATCAGTTTTCTGGTATCATCAGCACCACTAAAGAGTTGGACTTTGAATCTTCATCAGAGAGCTATGTGTTTGTTGTCAGAGCCTCTGACTGGGGGTCCCCTTACAGGCGAGAGAGTGAAGTAAATGTAACGATCCACCTGGAAAATGTAAATGACAACCGGCCATTGTTTGAGAAGGTCGCATGCCAGGGGGTGATCTCCAGGGATTTCCCAGTGGGTGATGTGATAACCACAATGTCTGCCATTGATATCGATGAGTTGGAGCTAGTCAAATACAAGATCATTTCAGGGAATGAATGGGGTTACTTCGACCTCAACGCAGATTCAGGGGTCCTCTCATTGCAACATTCCCTCGACGCAGCCAGTCCAAAGAACGGTCTGTTTAACCTCAAAATAACTGCTACAGATGGCGAGAACTTTTCTGATCCTATGTTTGTTAACATCTCGGTATCTCATGGGAAATCTCCTCCCAAAAGTTTCAATTGCAGAGAGACAAGGGTAGCCCAAAAGTTAGCAGAAAAGTTACTCAAAAAGTCAAAAGCTAGCATGAAGCCCAAAATCGAGGAAGGATTTATTGACCTTTTCTCTGTCAATCGGCAAACACCCCAATTCGACAAAGCTTTTCCGACAGATATTGCTGTGCGGGAAGACCTAATGATAGGTTCCAGTGTTTTTAAGGTCAATGCATATGATGGGGACACAGGTTTCAATGGTCAGATTCTATTCTCTATTTCAGATGGAAACACTGACAACTGTTTCAACATCGACATGGAGACTGGCCTTATCAGTGTCTTCTTGCCTATGGACAGAGAAAAAAGGGATCGATATCTCCTCAACCTTACTATTTATGACCTTGGCCTGCCACAGAAAACTGCCTGGCGTTTGCTTACTGTTTACATTGAGGATGCTAATGATAATGCACCCCAATTTTTGCAAGAAGGAGGCTATACAATTGTCATACCTGAGAATACTGCTATAGGAACGGATGTCATCCAGGTTGAGGCCACTGACAAAGATCTTGGACCCAATGGGGAGATTGTGTACTCTGTTTTGTCCAGCACCACCCAGTTTGGTATCAACTCTACTAACGGGATAGTGTATGTTGCTGGCCAACTCGACAGGGAGTTTGTTCCGGTATTCAACCTAAAGATCGAGGCCCGGGACAAGGCAGAGAAAGGGAGCCAGAAGTTTTCAGCGATCACTTTAAAAGTAATATTAGAGGATGTGAATGACTGTCCCCCACTATTCATCCCCAATGTCTACAAAGCCAGGGCTCTAGAGGATCTTCCAGTAGGAACTGTTGTGGCCTGGTTAGACACCCAGGACCCAGATCTGGGGTTGGGAGGCCAGGTCCGTTACTCACTAGCCAACGATTATAATGAATGGTTTGAGGTAGACAGGGCCAGCGGGGCTATTCGACTGACAAAAGAGCTAGACTACGAGACTCGGCAGTTCTACAACCTTACTGTGAAGGCCAAAGACAAGGGAAGGCCTGTTTCTCTTCTTTCTGTCACCTCTGTGGAGGTAGAGGTCGTAGATGTGAACGAAAACCTCTATGCTCCATACTTTTCCCACTTTGCCTTGACGGTACCAGTTAAAGAGAATGCCCGGATTGGAACTACCTTACTTCAAGTCACAGCCGAAGATGAGGACACTGGCAGAGACGGAGAAATCCAGTACTCCATTCGTGATGGGAGTGGGCTTGGACGATTTGCCATTGATGAAGAGACAGGTACGTTCATTCTTTAAATGTCATATGAATCATGTTGTTAATAAGTATTGCACTGGGGTCGTCACATATATATGTGTTACATATGTGTACTTTTCTACATATGTGTACTCTTCTAACTGTAACAGTTGGATGTTAAGGTACTTGTTAGGTTTTTTTCTTTAAAGTAAGTCTCAAGGCTCTATGTCCAGAAAGGTGACACTCTGCACTTGACTGATATTATGTCAAAGATACATGTTCTAAATGTAGGGGTGCAATGGTCGATATGGTACAACATACAAAATATGCAGAACAATGCAATTCAAATTAAATATGACGTCATTATGGCTTATGGTTCAAATAAGCATTAATATATCTCAGCATAAAAAAAGCTTTTATTTATTTGAATCACTGATTTAGCACACAGCGAGCGTTCTTAGTGACCCAAATCAAACACATCAAAGATGTTGCAAAACAACAGGTGCATGCTGAGTCTCAGGAGCAGAGAGACAGAGTAGCTGAGTGGACTGGTGATGCTATGCATTGAGAATGAATGAGCAGAGAAAAACATCCTGAACTTGAGGTTCAATTTGCATAATGTGTGTAACTCAGTGAACAGGGAAGGATGCCCACATCGGCATTGCCTTGAAACCCAGCCTTTTGATTTAATGTGTGTATATTTGGGTTGTGTATTTGTGTGTGAAGTTAATATCATTTACACTTCTCCCTGTTGGCTGCCTTGGCCAAGCTTCATTTGGCTGTTAAAGTGGCAACACATTTATTTTCTTTAGTCTAATGCTTGTCTATGGCTCTATACCTTAATTTTAAGTCATAATGTGGTCAATAATAGTCCACGTTTTGTCTTGGTCTTTTCTGGTTAACTAACTTAAGTGAGAAAGGTGAACATACAGTATATTTATATTGGATAATCAGTTGTATTCACACTTGTTTCACTAGTTTATACATTGACATGTTAAATATAATTGCTCTTTATTTTGTACCTCAAGGGTGCTCTTTGATGGAATACTTCATTATAAAACATTATCACCACCATGTGGGAAAAGTGAAGCCAAAGCAGATTTGTTGTTTTGGCTTGAATTTTCCATGCCTTTACGTTGTGATCACTGGTTTTATATAGTGACTTTGGTGTTCATATGTTTAAAACTCTATACTATACCATATACACCATCCCACCAAACCAACAATCTTGCCTTACAAAAGACTACTTGCTAGACTATAGCAGCAGCACACTACATCCTGTTGCATCCACCTAGCCAAGTGTATCGCTGTGACACGTTCAAGTCATGGCCAGTGAAATTGACTGAAGACAAAATACCTAGCCACTCAACTCCCTCCCCCCCTCCCTCCCTTTTGCCAGCCCAGGCTGAATCCCTCACCTGTCCCCGATTGAAAGACTGAAGGTGGCCAATAGGAAATGTTTGACTTATTATATATCACACACACACACACACACACACACACACACACACACACACACACACACACACACACACACACACACACAGTCGTTAACCCAGCGTGGCTGTCCCAAGGTGATGAACAGGAGCAGAGTGGGGGGGGAGGATTTATGGCCCTTGTTAGGCTAGCCTTGGCAAGCCCCATAAATCAACCCCAAGCTGCTGAGAAACACTACAAACACAATTACGACTTAAAGATAATTACTCTGGCCTTCACACCCACTCATATGTACACACACTCACAAATGCACTCACACCCTGACCAGCTCTGTAAACCATAATGTTGAACATTTATGTTAATGAGGAGTCAAAACTTGTTAATAGGGGCGGGGCTTGGTAGGACAGGGTGGAGCAAGCAAGTGAAAACCACCATGGCACTGTGTGAAAGGCTACAATAGCTGTCAATCAGACAAACAATCCTCAACCTCAGTCAAAATGACCGATGATGTAACCACATCACATTTCACTTAAAATAATTGGACCTTGCATATTGGTAATACTCGCGCATATTAAAAAAGCTAGCAACATAACACTGATTGGTACTTAATTATGTGTATTTAGCCTGATATCCAAAGCAGACTGAGCACATTATAACTAAATCTCGGTAATTGATAGTCCTGCATACCAATGTAAGATTTGACTGGCTTCTATATAGTCTTGGCTGGTAGAATGTGCTTCTTCTTATTGGCCAGCTGAAAGAAAGATTGTTTAGAATTGTATACCTTCTGCAACGGGGAGGAAATGTAGTGAAGCATTGCCGTATGTGAAAACTTAAAGTGGACCTATCATGCTATATTTGAATAATATAGTGTAGGACCATACCTATATAAGCCATATTTATACTTTTTTTTTTTCAAAATACCAAACAGATCATGCATTTTAGCCATGCCTCATTTTGCTCAATTTTACATTTTTTAGCTCTGGGCAGATTCAGTGAGAACAGCACCATCTACTGGCCTGGCATATGTACTACAGCGTCTCCAGCGCTTTCGAACGGCAATGGCCGTGGCTGTCTCCTCCTGATTGGTGGAGTTGGCCCAATAGCCGTAGCGCCACTGTCCTGACGTCAGGAAAGTGTTCAAATCTGGATCAGTTTTTATCAGATCCATTGCAGCCCCTTTTTTAGAGATTTGGGTATGGAGGAAAATAGAGAGGGTTGTGTTTTCTGACACTTGGTGAGTTCCCTGGAACACCGGGGACACATATTCATGTATAAAAGACGTGCAAAAGTGCATTTTGCATGATAGGTCCCCTTTAAGGATGTTAAACACCAGAAGCACGGCAGGATTAAGACCTGCATTTGCCTCTTTATAAACTCTAGGCACTTTATTTTCCTAACCCCAAGTTGCCTATCCATAACCATACTGTAATTGCATTGCAACAGATACTGTAGAATGCAGACATTTAGATATATGCAATATTGGTGTACTTCTTGGATGATTTGATTTTGGCAGGAGATGATAGGATCTCTGGATGATCCCTTGGTCTGCATGCCTAGAAAGGAACGGGGAGATACAAATCTGTCATTCACAGTTTCTGTGATGTTTTTTGTCTGTGTAAGAATCACCACAGTTTTGCAGATGGTGATGAACAGGTCTCTGTGTGAGCCTTGAAAGTGCACAGGGTAGGTCTTGTCCAAGGATCGGCTATGGTTCTGGAGCTTTAATGGGTTGGTGGTTCGATCCCTAGCCCCAGAAGTCAATATGTCGATGTTAGGCAAAAACTCAAACGTAAATTGCTCCCAATGTGTAACGGTGTCTGATTGTGTGTGAACGTTAGTCTCCTTGTTAGGCACCTCTGTATGTTATCCGTGTGAACAGGTGAATGCTATCTTGGATATGTAAAAGCACTTTAAGGGGTTGCAAAGACTAGAAAAGCAATTTATAAATGCAGTCCATTTACTGTCCGTGTCAGAATCACCAAAGTATTGCCAAAGGTGATGGGCATGTCTTGGGTTAAGCACACAGGCGAAGTCTTGTCCAAGTTGTACAAGAACTGTCCAAGTGAGAATTACCACACAGCTTAGGTGGTGCCTTGACTTCCAGACGGCGCCATCTGCCTAAGTGTGATGCGTTCCTTAAGCTCTTGTGTTGTTGCGAATGGATACTGGGTACTATAGCAGTGGCAGCCAAGTTCAATATGCCATGGACCACTTGCAGGGATTTAAAGAAAGTGAACACTATTTGCAGCCGCAGAACAAATATCCCAGTGCCAGCCTCCAAACGGTTTAACTGCATCGATCGTCTTGCTGCGGATCCACCTGGTCCCCCCCGCCTTGAGCTGAAAACGTCTTTATTTGGTGTTGAAGTGTGTTTGCTCACTCGTGTAGGCGTTTTTTCTCTGATGTTTCGCAACCGAAAATAATGAGGTGGTGGGCGACTTAATGCTGTTGTTATGTGGGTTAATATAGATGTGTTGTAGTCTGCCAGTATCTTCTGTTACTGAATAGGCTTAACATTAGACACCCGCCTTTACTTCCCACACACAGATACACACACTTACCTTGAAAGACTAACCTTTCCATATTGTTCTCCTTCCCGCTGTGTTCAGCAGGAAGCTCTTCACATCAAGACTCTTAATCACAGTGTCACCTCTCCCTGGGAAGTGCCTGTGTTTTGGGAGAGAAGCAAAGGAACGAGAAGGAGCTGGAGGAGAATTTGTGGCTCCCAATTCTACAGTGATTCATTTCTAACAGGCAGGGAGGCCCGCAGCTTTGTTTTCCAACGAAAAGAGCATTGTGAAGAGCCTCAAATGTGCAGCAAGGAGTTAACATGGAGGCAGATAGATGTGGGCACACACACTCACACACACACACACACTCACACACACACACACACACACTCACACACACACACACAGACACAATGATTGAAATGCATTTGGTTGAAGATGTCAGTGAATGTAGCAGTCGTACTGCTCTTCAGTGAACTCTTTTCAGTGATGCCTGTGGAGGATTGATACATTTAAAAAAGACGGGTTCTTTATTATTTCATATACTGCCTGACTTACTGAATCCATGTCGACATTACATAATTAATTAAAATATTATAGGGACATTCTGTGAATATGCTATAAACTGTAAATAAAGTGACAACTGCACATAACAGCCCAGTGTTTGAAGAGTTCAATTATACAAACTCTTCAATAGGAGCCATCACTCTATTGAATTCAATTGTGTGGTTCAATTGACTGCACTGAGAGCACTGCCAAACATATCCCTCTTTTAATGGTCTACATTGTTATGAGCACTCCCAAAATGCAACTTGCCTGAAGGTGCTGGAGCATTGTGAGGTGCTCAGGGATGCCTTTTCACTTTTTGGCAGGTAAGGTCACTTCATTATAGTAATTAAAGGGAAGTGTTTAAAGTTTCCTGTCTTTATAGTCGAAAACAATCACTTTGCAGATTCATGTTAGGTATGCAAACACAATGTTATGGTTTTTGAGGATTCTAATGCAAGAAAAACCCTTGAAAACAATTGGAAAACCAAACCATGTTCCAAATTGATGTGTCTGAAAACAGCCTTCCTTCCAGCCAGAGCTTGTTTC